CCCCTGGTGTGTGCCCTTACAGAGCTCCGGAGGGTACCCTCCCCTGGAGGGGTGTCCCCGCATATCCCCCCACACCCTCTGTGGGTGCTGTCCCCGGTGGGTGTCCCCTCACGCAGCGCCTGTGGGGTGTCCGTCTCCTCACATCCCCTCTGTGGGTCTCCCCCAGGTGGGTGTTCTCTCATGTCCCCTCAGACCTTCTGTGGGGGCCCTCCAGGCGGTGTCCCCTCATATCCCCCCTCATGCAGCCTCCAGGTACCCCTGGGTGTCCCCTCACACCCTCTGGGGGTGCCCTCGGGTGGGTGCCCCCTCAGAGCCCGCATCCCTGGGTGGGGGCCCTGGCCTGAAGCGATGTTGGGGCGGGAAGGTTCATCACAGTCCCATGTAATTCTTGCAGGGCAACTGCGATCCTGGCGTAGGATAGTGAAGGCACCTGCCCCTTTCCTGGAAACTGTGGAAATAGGTTAAGAGGAAATAAGTTGTTGGTTTTTTTAATGAAGCTGGGAGCCTAAGTGTCTTAATTGCATTTCTTCAAGATAATTAGGTATTCTAATTTCTTTTTTGATCCTTAGCTGCTTATTACAAGGAAAAATGTTTTTAATTTATGTTTGCCCTAGTGAATGTGTCGGAAGCTACTTTAGAAATTGTGCGTTTGTTCACGTGTTTCTGAAAGTTGGGGCTCTGACCCACGTGTCGGGCTGCTTGCGAGGCGATTCCCCAGTTAGTCCATGGCCAAATACACAAACGGTCGGGAGCCCTGGGCTCTGTTGACGCGTGTAGAGCAGAAGTCAGTCTAAACTAAATTCAGTTGACTAAAAGGTGGAAGTTAAACCAGCGTGTGTTGGGTTGCTCCAGTTACCAGCCAGCAAGGAGGGTTGTTCTTGATGACTATACTTAAAATTTTAATTCTGCAGGAATGATATTTTGACATGAATTGTCATTGAAGAAAAGAAAATCAGAAACGGATGTCCAGAGCTTGGATTAAAGTGTATTCTGCTAAGACATTCTGCAGCAGAGAACCAGTGAACGAAGCAGCAAAAGTGTTATCAGTGGTGTGTCCAGAGCTAATCGCTCTGCAGACGTTGTATAAGGCATGTTCAGGCTGACCCTGCCTTGGTCAATAACATTTCAAGAATATTCTGGTCTTCTAACAAGATGGCAATAAAACTGCTCCCTGAGCCCAGGTCCCAGAATAATTTTGACAAAAACGTTTGCATGTTATACTACGTTCTTTGTTGGAGCACCATGCTCTTTTTAAAAGTGATAAAGAATTGACTTCCCTGATTGTCTGTTATCTTGTTCTCAGTAGCAAATAAATGTAAATTTTAAAGAGTTTAGAATCATTAATTCTTTAAAATATTTATTGCCACTTATTAATTTGAAACCAGAACTAGAGAATAATTGACAAGGGCAAGGTCGGAGAGGATTCAGAGGCAGAAGCATGATCTCTGTAGGTTGGTAGAGTCCAGTGCCGTGCCAGTCGGGGCTCGCTGGGTTTGTGTGGGAGACCGCATCGGGCTTGAAGAACCACCCAACTGCTGTAGTTTTTCTTGGGGTGGCTGTATGCCATGTGTCAGCCAGGTACTGTTTTGATCCTACCAAATGGTGCTGCAGGTGAAATCTTTGGCCCTCATGGGACCACGTGGAAGTTGTGAACTCTTTGGGGTGTTATCTGGCATTTTCTGGATGGCTTTTTTTCACTATTCCACAAAACAGGGCTTCATTCTGTTTGGGTTTTCTACTATGATACAAAGAATAGTTCATAATCTTCATCCTGCTTTTACAAACTCCTGAAGATTTGTGTTTACCAAGAGCTTTTATCCTGTAGCGAGGCCAGAATGATTGATGTCGCAGGGTTATTGCTGTATAGTATGTTTCAGGAAGAAATAAGCTCCCTCTCCCTCTCTTTAGCTGCCCCAAGTTCCTCAGTTGTGTCTGCTTAATGCCAAGCCAGCATGGGTAACAGCTGTCCTGGGCTAGTGTGTGAGTCCAGGCATGCTAACACAGTTACTCTGCTCTTTGAATAAGAGTTGGTTTGTGTTCCACCATCTCAGATCATGGGGAAGCTTGTTTCACATCCGCCCGTTATATACCATGTGGACATAGCCAACATTGTTTTCATTGTAAAACTGAAAAGCTGAGCTATGCATGGCAGGAGTTCTTTAAAAAGAGTGGTTATGCCAAAGGAAACACAGGGAGCAGAATATTTTGCAGGGTTCTCGACTCCCACCAATTCCACTTAGTTATGAAAGTTTTCCTTAACATTGTTCTTTCTCTCTTGCCACAAAGTTCATTGCAAAAATATTCGGACAGTGTTAGTGCAGAAGGGGATCACGCACGCATGTGCACCGAACTATCATCACAGCAATTCTTTGTGTGTCTTGACAATACATGGTTATTTAGGAGTATGCGCAAAAGAGAGCGCGACCTTCAATGAAAAGGGCAGGAAGAGTTTCAGAAGTGGAGATAATTACCTGAATTGGGTTATGGTTGTGCCAGAAAATACTGAAAACCACAAGTGATGAGGAGTGCTCTGTCTGATCCTTAATGGCAGTAGTGACTAATTTGCCCGTTAAAGTGATGTTGAGGAGTAACTCTTGTCATTATCTGGCACAGTGAGTCTGAGTGTTAATAATTTGCAATTTATGTTACCAGTATTTTTATTTGGAACTTCTAGAAGGTAGCCACATAATAAAAAATATTTTCCTCTTTTTTTTTTCTTGTTGTAGGATGGAAGAGAGACCAGTCTGAAAAACTGTTCCGTTGTGGACTTTGCTGTTGTCTGCTAGAATGTTCCTTATGAATGCTTCTCCCTTCGTAGCTCTTCAGACAAAATGGGAGTCCTTTGGACCAGCAAGGAATTGTAGATATCCCGTTTGCTTCCCTGAATCTGAAGGGGACATCACTAGGACCTCTGTAAGTGCAAAAGTTCAGATGATCATAAACAACCTGCAAAGTCAAGAGTCTCCCCTGGGTATGAGCAATGAGTATGATTGTATTATGCAGAAGAAACAAAAGGGAGAAAAGGGCACTAGTAACAGAGTCGCATCTAGCACCACATTGCTACGGAAGCGTCCTCAGTATACCAAGTTTGGATGCCCTGCTGATTCAGATGACCCTGAAGTGGAAGAGAACGTGGAGTTTGGGACTCTCTTGCTTGATTCTGATAGCGACGATTCTGTTGACCGAGGTATAGAGGAAGCCATTCAAGAGTACTTGAAAGCAAAAAGCAATAGTGACCAGTCATTGCAAAGGAATGCAGAATGTTCTGAAAATATAAGCAGAGACAAAAGGTTTAAGAGAGAATTCTCGGAGAACAAAATGGCTAGTAACCTTCTCCCTGTGAAATTTAAAGCTGAGATGCTCTCTGAAGAGTACCTGTCTGACCACCTGGGACTTAATAAAAGGCTACAGCCTGCTTCCCCTCAGAGCATCAGTAGCGATGACTCTTTTGAACAGAGCATACAAGCTGAAATAGTGCAGTTCTTGAATGAGAAGAAGCAGCAAGAAATTAGTAAGTGTGTAACTGGGGAGGATAAAAAAGATTCCCGTGTGAGGTCTGTCCTGAAATGCAACAAAGAAACAACAAACAAAGCAAACTGTGGTGCTATAAAGCAAGGTTGTAATGCCCTCCTCTTGAGACACCATCCCAAGCTACAGAAGACCAGCAGGCAGTCCAAGTGTTTGCAGTCTAAAATCCAAGAAGAGCCTAGTGATTTCCGCCAAGTGAACCAAGCGTATCTAGAAATGGCCACTGCCAGCCAGCCCTGGTTAGTGGAGCAAAATGATGAAAGTGGAGCTAATTACTGGGAGAAGAAGGGAGCCCTTATCACCGAGAGCATGCACACATCTGACTCAAGTAGTGATGATGGCATTGAAGAAGCCATTCAACTTTACCAGCTGGAGAAAATCAGGAAAGAGGCAGGTCATGCAACAGACTGTGTCCCTTTGCAGAGGGAGCAATTTGACCCGAAGGGTATGGCGGACATTTCTGCAAGCCTGACAATTAGCTCAACAAAAAGTGCCTCACCAGAAATCCATAAAAGCCCTATAAGCAAAAAGAGGAAAGAAATTAATTCAAAGTCAACAGAATTAGAAAGCACCAGCAATGAATTTAACAAGCTGTTTAAACCACTGAAAAAAGCCAGACATTTTGCACTTCCGGAAAACAAGATTGCTGCTTGTGAGCTCACATTGCAGGCCTCTTGCAGAGCAGACACATCTGCAGAGCTCATGTGTGCGGAAGCTATCCTTGATATTTCCAAAACAATCATGCCATCCCAAATGGGAAGTGACAACAAATCACTGACTGCAGACTCCTTCTTTTCTCCTCAGCTTCTCTCGTCCTCCCATTGTGAAAGTGACAGCAGCCTCGTGGACAGCGATGATAGTATAGAGCAAGAAATCAGGGCTTTTTTGGCTCTGAAAGCACAGTCAGAAAACCTTGCAACAAAGCCTCCCAGCCTATCACACTCAATCCAGATGCCTTTGCCTTCTGATCAAAACAGCCTCACTGGCACCCTTGAGCCTTCTCTTCCCAAAACACTGAAGCTATCACTGAGTCGTAAAAGGAGGCTTAAAAGGGAAGGCAGAATAGTGAAACAAGGTTCATCAAAAACACCTGAACAGCTGGAGACAGGACTTTTCCAGGCAGGTAACTATTCAAAATTTCCTGTGCTCCAAGAGGATTGTGCCCTGAGCAGCCCCACAGAACTCTGTGATGCTCAAAGGCTGAGTAGTAAAGAGACGAGGCAGCAGCAGCTGATGTCTTCCAAACTGTCTGGATCTGACAGCAGATGTGTGGCCTTGGACTCTGTAAACCCTTTTATGCAGGTTCAGAGTAGTGCAAGAAAGCTTATGAAAAATACCATCCAAACTCAAGAGAAGGATGGTTCAGTTGATGAGAGCAGTTCTCTGGATAGTGATGAGGACCTTGATAGTGCTATCAAGGACCTTTTACGGTCTAAAAGAAAATTAAAGAAGAAGTCCAAGGACCAGAAATCTCAGTGCAAGAAGAGAGTCAGATTCAGTGAGACAGAAACTCAGCTGCTAGATGAATTTAGTAGCTTCCAACAAAACGAGTGGAAATGTAAAAATCCCATGCTACTGAAAAGCTGCCTCTCAAAACCTAGAAAAGCTGTGAAAGAGAATGCAACAAGAAATCCTCCAGACAACATAAATGTCAAACTTACCAATGAAAAACCAGAAACCATGAAGAACTTAGAGTTTAACTTACAGCTGAAAAAAGGATATAAACCTAAACCAATTTCAAACCAGAATAACTTGCAGGTGGCTAAAAATAGAAAGTCTACTTTCACAGCTGCATCAGACGCTGATGACAGCAGTTCAGTGGACAGCGATGACAGCATCGAACAAGAAATTAGGAAGTTTTTGGCAGAAAAGGCTAAAGACTCTGCAAGCAATTCAGAGATACAAAAAGATGATACAACTCTGGACCTATTGCAAGTGACCAAACAAACTGCTACTAAAGGGAAAGCAAAGCAACAGCCAGTTGAAAATGAGATTGACTTCATGCTGGGTCAGAGTGAAAAGACTGAGGTATCTCAGCAAACTGATGAGTTGAAGAACTGTCAGAGAACAGAAGGGAAAAGTGCAATGTTACATGGCAGTGGGAAATCTGCTTCCCCTGCAGAGAATGTTCATCTTCATACTACTGGTCGGTCAAAAGCAAAGCAAGGAGTGGTGGGCGTTAAAGGTGTTGCTGCTAGTGAGTTGTCTGGAAATGCAACAGGTAAAAAGGATGTCCCTAATACAGAGCCCGTGCAGAAAATGGCTCCACCTAAAACCAGCAAAAATGAAGGTTGTAAAGTACGAAAAGTAATTAATGCAAAGTCTAGATCTAAAAGAAAGAATACCTTTCACTTAAAAATTTCGAGTAAATTTATTGCAGGTCTAAAATATGCTCGGGACAGGAAGAAATCCATGCTTTTGAACAAAAGGCAGAAAGCAGAGCGTTTGCTTGCCCAGAGTAGTGCGTTAGGAACGGAGGTGGCTTCCCAGGATACAGACATACTTAACCAGGGAAGAGGAGCCCCCTTGCCAAAAGGCAAATTTAGTGGGGAGAGTCCAACAGCAAGAAAAGAATCCAGTTCTCCTGAGACGCTTCTTGCTGTGGGAGTGTCAAGTCCCCATGTAGCAGAAACCTGTGTAAGACTGGAGGCTGCTCCTTTGTATATCAGAGAGGAAGCAGAGGGTTGCAGAAAGGCTAATGCTTCAGGAGATCAGTCAGATTCACATTCGACTCTCCCCTTGCAGGAATGGAGTGTGGCAGCAGTAAAGGTAGATAAGGTTTGCAGTGGGACATCCAAAGCTGAGAACACACAGATGTGCATCGAGGAAGGAGATATCCACAAAGACAGCTGGACCAATTCAAATTTAGATCCCCCACGCCCTGAACGCAGTATGGCAGTGGTAAAAGCAGATAAAGTTAGCAGAGACACATCTTGGCAGAGTATACATGCATGCAGTAAGGGAGAGAATAACCAGCAGGACAAGAGGCCAGATCCAAGTTTAGGTTGCCCACTGCAGGAACTAAATGTGACAGCAGTAGCAGTGGATAAAAATAGTGGCGGAGCATGTACAGGTAACAGTGTGCAGATGTGCATTGAGAAAGAAAAAGTTATCTGCCAGGACAGTGACAGGCAGGAAGAAATTCAGGTATCCAGCTCCAATTTGGAAGGAAAAATACCTGTCCTGCAGAATAAGGAAACTGCTTGTGAAGTGGACCAAGGGCAGGAAGCTTTAGACAAAACCTGTGCAAAACTTACTGACCTACCTGCAGGGGACTGCCTAGATTCCCCCTTGAAAGGAAAGGTTTCAAATATGTAAGTACTTTTTTTTTTTTTTTTTTTACAATAATAGTCTTTTTAGAAAATAACTATCATTGTAATTACCTTGATAAAACTTGAGACATGAAAGGAGAGACAGTGGGAGATGCTGATATCTGTATATCATATACACACTAATGTGAAAAATGCTTCTATTTAACAGGGATATCATGGATAACCATACATAGATTTTGTAGAATTTTGTAAATTATTTAAAGTGCTCTAAGGAAATATTTTTTATAATGATTTTTAGGGCTTGCATTACTACAGGATGCTGTAGTTACTGTAGATAGGATACTGGCTAATCACACTTTAAATTACGAGGCCTCTAATCATATATCAAAAGGAAACCTGTTTGCGCGCGGAATACGTTTGGCAGTCTGTTAAAGGATCCTAGGAAAACACAGCATGTGATAGCAGTGCTATGCTTTTGAAGCAGATTATCTGACATCTGTTCGCATTCAAGCTGCCTTAGGACAATGCTGTGTCCTAAGAACTGGGGTCCCAGTTCTCCCACCCTGAGGACTGTTGGGCGAGTTCACTAAGCAGAACTCCAGCGAAGTCAGCGCAGCTGCAGGTGTGGAGATCCATCCTTGAAGATACAAATGCAAATTCAGGTAAATAAAGTGGATCAATCTGTCTGCACATCCTGTGTAAAGCGATCTCAGCAGCTGCTGAAGGTACCTTTTGAATGCCTGAAACCTCCCACTAGCAGATGATTCCAAGCACAAGTGCTGTTCAAGAAAAGTAAAGGAGCATGTCTGTTCAGACAACATGATTTCTGTGGATTTTGCTAGATTTACGTACTGTTGGGCCTGCAAGGCTGAAACAATTCCTCATTATTCTCAAGTCTCATTTGGATGCCCTGCAGTTACCCAGAGATGGCTTTTGGTTTCCTGAATGAACTTTCTTGAATTGAGTGCCCTTACTTTCCTTTTTCGAAAGTGGTTTCTAAAATGTTACATTTCTGTGAACTTTTATTTTCATTTACAATTTTTGTGCAATAGAACAAAGTTAGATTTGCCGTAGGAAGTCCTTAATGTAAACGCCAAGGATATTTTCAGCACTGTTCTTTCATACTGGTAGTGCTTTCTCTGCCTCCATTTCCAGCAGCCAGAATAAAGCAATTTTTCACTACTATCTTTTTATTTGTACTAACTTTAAATGGGATTGAAGTAGCACATTCATATCGCAAAAAAAGTGCCCCCACACTGGTTTCACTGAAAAATCCAAAAAGTGTGAATTTAAGCTGTTGGCTGGTTCTTTCCTTTTCATTTGTGTGTAGTGAAGTCCTTTGAGTAGTTTGTTCTTACCTCTTGTCCTTGTGAATTGATCTGATATTCTCTTTATCTAGTCTTCTACAGAACTTCTGTCAGCCAAACTACCACTTGGTATCTGTTTGTTTCTCAGTCACTTCAGCAGTCTTCCTGGAGGCTGGCCTTAATGTTGCAGAATGGAGCAAAAAGCAGTCAAGAGCGGATCCAGTATCGCGTGGTATCCCTGGTGTGATCATATTTGCAGAATATTGGCAAACTACAGCATAGTGTAGAGTAGAACAAGTAACTGTGGCATGTAGAGAAATAAACAACAGCCTTTGTGTGTTTATACTGTTGTGCAGTTACGTTTTAAACATGTTTATAGTGGTCATTTGACATTTCTTACTGTCCGGCCACCTTTTTGTAGTCCTTGGGTTGGTTGGTTGGTTTGTTTAAAAGATCGGTATGCTAGATCATCTCATTTTTGTGGTAGGATACCTTGGAAAAGTGTTTTTTACTTAGCTCACGTGCCTGCAGTCAGTCTACACAGACGTATTTTTGTCTGCCTTGATTCAGTTGCAGGATTTGGGCCTTTTGTTTGGAATAGGTAAATAGGCTGGTATTTTAAAATAGAAGTTTTCAGAGTACCTTGCTTTAAAAGGATTAAACTGTATACTTAATTTTAATAGAGGTGATGGAAGCACTGTGTACTGTTTGTATAAAATAAGCTGAATGTTTCTCCTCAAAGTTTTCAGTAAAATCAACATTAAGACTTAAGGTGTCTTGTGCCCCTGTTGATGTGTCTGTGTTCTCAATACTACTCGTGAACTGATTCACTTTCAATTAAGATGCAATTCCAATTACCTTGTGCTTTAAATAAAACCTAATTTCAAACAGCACTTTTTTAAATTTATAAACTTGATTTGTATATAGGAAATGGTGTACATTGATAAGTTTATAATGTTTAATAAATGGGGTTCTGACCATGGACCATGAAACCAGAGTGCTCCTATGGTTTGTGTCATTGTCTTTAGTGAGTAGTATTTTTGTGTTTTCTTTTTTCCCCTTCCTGCCTGTAGTCTGAAGATGTAATTAACTTGTGCCAGTAGCGTTTGTGAGTGAAGGACGTCACCCTTGCAGATGATCACAGCATTTCTGTTAGCTGAACCAGGGAACAGGATCTTGATTCAGCTGCTGCTCTTGCTTCTTGCCTCCTATTGTCTTCAGCCACCCACTGTCTGAGACTGTAATGTCCTATGTGACAGTAGCGTGTCGTTTCCTTTTGACTGTGAAACAGAACCCAGGTCTTTAAAGATGTGACTGTTTAAAGGAGTGGTGTTCTTAAGAACAAAAAATGAAAAAGGAGAATCTACAAAGTACATAGGCAAAAAAAAGTTGTGGCTGTTCTGGGAGGTGAGAATGGTGCTTGTCGTTTTAGCAAAACCCTAACAGCAGTTTTCTTTCCTGGCGTTTGTGGACAAGAAGTGGAGTCTTTCCTTGTGCTTGCCTCTCTCCATTAGTAGCAGAAGGCGTTCCTGCTTTTTGAGACAGAGTTTAGCAGGTGAGATCTGTGATTGAGTTGGAAAGCACTCAGTGTTATGCAGTTTATGCAGTGATATGCAAACCAGCCTGTCACCCTTGGTGTTTCTCTACCAGTATTCAATGGGTATTCCCTTCTACCTCCAAGTCCTCCCAGTCATAATTAGGCTTGGCAAGTGATTTTTCCAGAGTTTGTCCCATGAGAATTGCCGACTTGCCAAGGAGGAGCAAGCACCCACAGGGGATGTCACTAAATAGTGTATCAGTGAACATCTCCGGAATTGGTGCCACAGCCATACAAAGAGTGCCGTGACTCCGCTGGCAGTATTGTCATTCTGGGTATAGTTCTCATTACGCATTCAAAAAAGGGAAGTCTGGTGTCTTGGAGCAGTAAGAAATCACTCTTATACATTACAGATTAAAGGTTGAACAGCTGAGGAGTAGAAAGATTACATTGAGTGAGAATAAATTCACGAGCAAGAGTGCCACGCGTGGTACCAAGTTTGGGACTTGCCATACAAATCTCTTGAGGTTGAATCTTGGTAGATGCAGTACCAAAAGCATTTTCTTATTCCTGTTGATACTGATCATAACAGGCAGCCAACCGTAGAGCAGGCACAGACTACACACCCCTCCTGGCCCTTTTCCACGCTCCAGTGATAGCTCTGGTGAGTGCCCAGAACAAGCTCCTTTTTCCATTCTTTCAACCCTCCTGGGGTATTCATTTGATCCTGTATCTATTGTGGTTGATTCACGCATGGAACCATGAACTCAGATCTACTCAAGCATGTAAAGAAGTTTTGGGTTTTTGTTTTTTAAATGAGTACTTGTTTCTGTTTTTAAAAAATGCGCAATGATTTTTTTTTTCCAGTCAGAACACAAAACTTTCTAATTTGGAAGTTAAGTTATTAAACTACTCAGTATATTTTATTATGGCTACTGGTGAGTTACAGCATCCTGACTGCAATACCAGAGTTCTCAGATAAATCTGTGCTCACTCAGGACTTTGAAAATAGGTATATTGTTTTATTTTTATCACAGTGACTATTTTTCTGTACTTCAGGAAGGGCAATCTTCAAGGGTCCTCAGGGGACCACAAGGACTACCTTAATTTTTTATAAACAGTTCTTTCCTGCTATTTTAGGAACATGTGTTTTGATGTGTAGCTGCTTTTTATACAAGGAAGGAACACACCATCTCTGCCACCATTTCTTGTATCAATATATATGCTTTTTAATTTTTCAAACCTTTAAGAACTGCATTTTGTCTTGGTTCAATAATACAGCCTCACATAATTTTGTCTGCAAACATGAAAATCTTGCTTTCAAAATGCAGAGTAGAAAGAGGCTGTTTCAGGTAGGTTCTCTGTGGTAAAATGTGTCGTCTTTAGGATGATATTTTGAATTTGTAAATGTATTTCTTTAAAAAAGTGTATTGGGTCTCTAACATCTGAACAAACAGGTCACTATTTCTTAAGCCTACTAAAATAGGGAAATGTAGGAAAGTAAACACAAGGAGAACATGTCTTTGACCTAAGTATGGTAAGGCTTGAGCAAATCAATGTCGGGGCTGGCTGCAGCTGAAGCTTGTGTGTTGCTCCCTTCTCCACAAAGGGAATTGAACTGGCTAGCCTTACTCCGACGTATGGCAGGATACAGTCTGTATGAGGGTGACGTAAGGCACACGGCTTGCAAAACTGTTCACTGTTCAAAGGAACTGGTTTCAGTTCAAGATTAAAACAAAGAGGGAAGAAATTAAGGCAAGGAAGAAAAGAGGTGGGTGTTTTTAGATGAAGTATGGAAACAGGTGGAAAATATGTGACAAAAGCCACTAAATTTATATTTTTAGGAGGCCATCTTATCCCTAAATTATTCCACCTGCAGAAGAATCTGTGGATAATAATATATGTAGAATTGTCAGAATTGTTTGTATTAATTCAGCACTTTATGTTATTTTTCATTTCAGGAGAAGAAGGGGAAGTTATGAGAAGCCCAAGGTATTGCCTATAGTCTAATAGGACAATAGCGGTGAATGATAGAGGGTTGCTTATTTATTTTTGTATGTTAAATATTTTAAAAGTTAACTTTTCAGGCCCATTTCTGCTTAGTATATTTCCTTGTTCCAATGTATTGGTGTGTTTTCAGCAAAGGTGAATTTAGCCAGCTGTTCTTCTGTTTGAGATAACCAAGTGCATGGCAGTGAAAAC